ATAAGGGTCTACTTACTGTTATCTTCATCATCTTATGTCACTTCTAGGCTCAGAGCAGCCTATTCTCTTCGCATTTCAGTCTTCCCCTGCTCCCCCTTCGTCAGGAGCACCTATACCCTCTGCCCTAGCCCCCTCTAGGTGCACGGAACCCCTCCCCCATTTTATTTTAACAGATCCCTCGAGCCAAAGCCCACGTAGGAAAACCACCAACTCGGCAATTGTCTTTGTGTTGGGTTTTTTTTGGTGTTTTTGCCATTGATCCACACATCGACTCACACTGGGACACTGGGAGAGTGTCAACAATGCATCAGAGGCGATGCAGGGGTCGTGCAAGCATTGCGATCAATGAAGACACGATGCGCAGGTCACGAGCATGACATGACTTACCATATCGGGCAACTACATTCACGCGCCATACAAGGTATTGCACTCGAGGCTCGAGAACAAGAAAAATCGATACCAGACCGTTATCAGACCGAAACGCGCGATTCTAAATCGACAGAAACCTTACATGTGACCTATAGAAGCTGTGTACAAAATCTCAGGGCACGAAATGCAAAAACGAAGTCTCTACAGCCATTCGAAGGCGACTGTGCATGCAGACACAACACACCTGCCACAAGCACGACGCAACTTCCAAATCTGGTAACTACGCTCGTGCACACGAAGTGCTGCACCTCAGAGTCGAGGCCAAGCCCAGCCATGGACCACAATTCATATCTAATACTACCTCTGCAAAGTTGCTATCATTCAGGTGTTTTTTTGTTTTACCTATCTTTCTTTATTCCGAGTGCCTACACCCACCACCGCTTGAGGGGGAGTGTTGGACTTGGACAAGTGGTGTGCTGTAGCATAGCCACCGCATTACATAAGCAAATAGCACACACTTACAATTTTCATAGTACTGTAGTTCCTACTTAGTGACTACTAAGTATTCTACAGATTCTGTCAATTACATCTGTCATATGTCAAATATACATCTTGTGAGGTTGACTGCTCATGGCAGCTCATATTCTGACACTCTCCCACAAACAAAACAAGACAGATTCTACCAAGCTAGTTCTTTGAAGACAACAGTGGCAACTGTACCTGTCTTTTCCTCCACTTTCCTTTTTGGGAAACTGCTTTGGTAATGTCCTTTTTCTCCACAGTTGAAGCAGGTGATCTGCTTGAGTGGGTGGTGTGGTTTCTGAGTGACAGCAAGGGCAGTGCCAGCAGCTGGGGTGGGTTCAGCAGAACATTGGCATGATTCTTCATTTAGGAGGTGTGCCTTGACAACTTTGAGTGAGGCAGATGGTGTTAGGGGCCATGCCCTAAATGGAAGTTTGTAATTGTTTGCAGGCATGTGATACTCTGGTATCACATGCCTGCATGTCTAGTATATATACATCTCATAGTAAATTTTAAGGACAATTTGTCTTTAACTATCACACTGTGAATACCATATGGTACAGTTCATGGGTGTGAACTAAGGCAAATACCACAATCTTACAATTTTTTGAACTCTCGTCAAAGTATTTGCAATGAGCCACATGGCTACTCATGTGTATGCTTGTGCAGTAAAGTCAGGTCAGAGCAAGCCACCCAATGGAGGGGATCCCCCTCCAGATGATAATAGTCATCGAAAACAGAAAGGACCTTCTGAGGTCCAAAAGGATAATAGAAACTTGGAGGAAACTCAGCTGCCAGCTGGAAGCACCAACCAAGGAATGGGTGCTGTGAGTTGACATGTGGATCAATGGCAAAAACACCAAAAACCCAACACAAAGACAAATGCTGAGTTGGTGGTTTTCCTACATGGGCTTTGGCTCAAGGGATCTGTTAAAATAAAAATGGGGGAGGGGTTCTGTGCACCTAGAGAGGCTAGGGCAGAGGGGATTGGTGCTCCTGATGAAGGGGGAGCAGGGGAAGACTGAAAAAGCGAAGATAATTGGCTCCTGTGAGCCTAGATGTGACATAAGATGATGATAATGACAGTAAGTAGACCCTTGATGGAGCCTCAAATACTGCAGGAATGATGATGAAGGATAAGAGCTAAAAAGCAATGATGAATAGGCTTGATGATGAGGCAGATGATGAGTGAGCAGTTGGGTCTCTACACAGGGGACTGCTTCCTATGCAGGGGACTGTAGCTGCTTGATTGCTGTTGACATATTGGTACTTTATATACAAAAGAGTAGCATAGCCTGTGGTGAACATAGAGCAATACTTTGTCATGGGTTCATAAGCAATTGGTAAAGGGATTGGTGAAGGATTGGTTTTTGAAGGTTATGAAGGATGAGTTTCAGACTAAAAGGAAAGTAAATATCTCAGGCTTTGAGTTGGATGAAGACTACTCTACCAACCTAAAAGGAAAGTAAATATCTAAGTAGATATTAGTACTGTGGTAATTTAGAATAGAGAATGTAAACCATACCTCAGGCTTTGAGTTGGATGAAGACTGAGGTACGAGCAGAAAATATTCTGGCTAAGTCCAAGGCTGATTATGTAAGTAGGAAACCGTTCTCGCTGACAGAGTATGACACAATACCACAAATTTCCAACACACCCACTCAGCAAATAAATGGTTTCTAATAAATAATGCCCATACCCTTGGTAAACCAGATATGTTTCTCCCATGTGAGTCCCTTGGTAAGGATGTCAGCCACTTGAGTATTTGTCGAAATGTAGTCAACTGTGACCTTGCCCATCTCCAGCTGCTCATGAATAAAATGGTGTCAGATCAAAATGTGTTTTGCATGGTCATGAAACACAGAATTTTTCGCTAACAATATAGCTGATTGGTTGTTGAGTAGGAGTAGGGTTGGTTTGGGTGAGGGAATCATGTTGAGCTCAGAGATTAGCATCTGAATCCAAATAGCTTCCTTTGTTGCTGCAGATGCAGCCATATACTCCACTTTGGTACTGGACAGTGTGACAGATGTTTGTTTCTTCAAGGACCAGCTGACTGCGCCATTCGCAAGAATGAAAACATAGCCAGTGATCAACTGTCAATCATTTATGTCGGAGGCCCAGTCTGCATCTACATAGCCAAAGGGATTTTGTGCTGAATCGCCTGAGTACACTAGACATGCATCAGTTGTTCCCCGTAGGTACTGATAGACCCATTTGAGGGCTGCCCAGTGGGCCTCCCCAGGTGTGGCAGCATGCTGGCTCAACGCACCCACTGAAAATGCTAGGTTGGGTCGGGTTGCTAGCATAGCATACATTAGTGCACCAAGTGCACTCTGATAAGACTTGTTATCAACCTCTGGCTCATCTAACTTTGCCAGTTTTGAGTTAGGGTCAATTGGTGTGGCAACTGCATGACCCTTGTGCATCCCAAAATGTTTGAGGATACCTTTGACGTAGTGCCTTTGTGAAATTTCTATAATCCGCTTGTCATGATCTCATATGATCTCCATTCCAAGGATCCATCTTGCCTCTCCCAGGTCCAACAGGTCATACTCCTTCATGAGTGCCTCCTTGAGCTTCTTGATTGCCCTCGTGCACTTTGAAAGAATTAGTTTATCATCTATGTATACCACAATGATGATGATTACACCATCCTTGACCTTGTAGAAGATGGAGTGATCAGCATGGCTTCGAGTGAAACCCAGGGATTCAAATATGGTACAGAGTTGCCTGTACCAGGCTTTGTGGGCCTGTTTCAGCCCATACAGCGCTCATCATAGGTGCCATACCTTGTCACCTGTACCATGGAAGCCTGGAGGGAGCTTCAAATAAATTTCTTCATCAAGTTCACCATTGAGAAATGTGGACTTGATGTCCATTTGGTGGATCTCAAGGTCATGCTGAGCTGCAAGTGCAAGTAAGACTCGAATGGTTGAGAACTTCGTTATGGGGGCAAACATTTCTGTGTAGTCAATGCCCTGGGTCTGTGTGAAGCCTTGTGCAATGAGATGGGCCTTGTAGCACTTGATATCACCAGTGGGACCTCATTTTATCTTGAATACCCACTTCGAGTTGATGATCTTTTGATCCTGAGGGCGATTTACCTCCTCATACAGCCCAATTCTCTGAAACACCTCCAGCTCATCCTGCATGGCCATATACCACCTATCTGAGTCAGCACACACCATAGCTTCTTCAAACATAGTCAGTTTGCCATCATCAGTGGCTCCAGCATGGTACGAGCATTCGTTTTGTTGATTGTTCCCACGCACCACTGCACTGACCTCAGCTGGCCATGCGTCATCCTCCCCACTTCTCTGTGGGCCCTCAAGCTCTGCCACACCTTCGTCAACTGGTAAGTCACCTTCATGCCTCAGTAAAGTGCTCTTCTGATAAGCATTTACCATATATCTTGGGTCGTCATCTCAAATAGGTGTTTTTTGAGCTCGAGAGGATCTTCTGATGGCTGCAGGGGGAATTGGGTGTGGGTATGGCATCTGTGGCCCTCTCACTTGGTTGGGGTGTCATATGGGTGGCCGAGGGTCCTTTCCTGACCCACCAGGTGCAGTATTAGCTGGTGTTTCAGCACATTTTTGCTCAACTTTTGAGTTTCCTTCATTTAGTGAGTTCATGTGCTCTGAGGGAGATCAGGGAAGATTGGCTCCATCCCCCCTCTCATTTTCACTTCTCCCCAGCTCCTGAGTGGTCCTGTCACCAGCCTGCACAAAATCATCTTGATCTGGCAAGTCATTGCTGTGCGGCAGATGGTTCTCCTCCTCCTGGTAAGGCTTTTGCATTTTTGGGTCTATGTTTCGCACTGACCACTCTTTCAGGTCCCCCATTTCGATGTCCTCATCGATTAGGACATGTTCTGGTCCATCTGGGTCCCCTTCATTGAAAACTACATCCCTTGACTCAATTATCACCCCACTAGGCCTGTGGAGACACCAGTAAGCCCTTTTATTTTCTGTGAACCTGATGTGGATGCATTCTATTGACTTGACATCCAGCTTCTTTCTCTATTCATCTGGGACATGGACATGAGCCTTGCACCTGAATATGTTGGAACATGTACTTGTGTATGTGTTCTGATGTTGTGAACCAGCGACCTTGTAGCTCAGTGGTAGAGCTCCTGGTGCAGTTCCAGGTGGTCCTGGGTTCAATTCCCTGTGAGGTCACTATTTACTTGGGTGTTTACACCTGTTGATGTGTGTTTCCACACTGTGTTTCAACAGAATATTTGCAAGTGTGAGAGTGAGGGTTTGTTGCTGCTGTAGGCTTTGAATGGAGTCATGCCATCTTTCAATGTGTGAGTCGGTGACCTATTGATGATGTATGCTGCATGAGTGATCACATTGCCCCAGTACTTCTTAGGGAGTCCTGCATCATTTAGCATGGCCCAAGCACTTTCCACAAGAGTTCAATTCATTCATTCAGAGACACCATTCTCCTGTGGAGTGTAAGGGTTTGTCTTTTCATGATGTACCCCTTTTGATTTTAGGTAGGCTTCAAACTCCCGAGAGCTATACTCTCCTCCACCATTGCTGTGGAGGTAATTGGGTTGCTTGCCAGTCTTTGCTTCAGCTCTTGCAAAATATTCCTTCAGTATTGACAGCACTTCATCCTTCGTCTTCATTAGCTTTACAACTAGGTGATGCGAGTGCCCATCAATAAAGGTCACAAAGTACTTGTGGCCTGTTCAGGAAGTTGTCTCCATCGGTCTGCATACATCTGAGTATGTCTGATACAGGACACTTGGGCTCTCAGTGCCTGACTCGGCTGTAATTGCCTTCTGACTTTGCTTTCCTGTGAGGCACGCTTTACAGGGTGTGTCATTGACCTTCTTTGGACCAGTTATTTCCATGCTGCTGACCATCTCCTTTCCCTCTAGTGCAAGCACTGACTTTGGATTTATGTGACCTAGACAATGATGCCAAGTCTTGAGTGTTGCCTTTGAAGTCTTAGTTTGAGTTGCAAGAGCAGATATAGTGGTTGTAGGGTCAAGTAAAGTTGTGGGTCCCTTCACTATGTATGCAGAGTGTGTTCCAGTGCATGGCTTTGCTGCAAGGATGTATAATGACTTTTGTTTTGTTGCCACAGCTGCAACATGACTGTTGGCTGATACCTCACAGGCATCATCCCCAAACGTTGTAGGGAGGGAATCCTCCCTACCAGGTATTTTCTTTTATTTCTTTGTTTTTACCTTACAGTTTTATGTCTATACCTTACCCTATACTTTTACTTAGTATTTGGTCGCATTTTGGCTTATGTAAGCCAACCTTTGCACTTAGGATACACTGTACTTAGAAAATAATAACAACCTGATCCCGAGACGAAATAAGACGGAATTCGAAGGCCGGAGGCCTTGGATTATCACTTCTCCATTATCAGACGTTCGTTAGACGATATCTCGACGTTCTTTGGATCCGTTTTAGGGCGCGTTTTCACTTGTTTTCACTGCTCCTTGACTCTCTGCCAGGCATCTCCAGCCTCCTGGGTCGAACTGACCCCCTCAGTCCAACGGGAGACCTCAAGGTATCTCCCCCCACACTCCTTTATCCGACTTTACATCTGGAGCCCACCGCGAGGGGGCTGTTTTGCTTGGTAATCCTCTCCTCCTCCTACCTCCGAGCTCGTGCACGCGATTTCTCGAGAACCAACGCGCCTTACCTCTCGCTTTTCGAGACTCTCATTCTACTCGACGAGAGCTTTCGATCGACGCCTTTTTCGACGCGATTGCTTCTGTGGTTCCAGAGCTATCACCCTTTTTGTGGAGAAAGGCACTATAGGACGGATTTTGGCATAACTCGGGTTTTGGTGCGCTGATCCTCTCGTTTCCTTGATCTCCCAGCGCCCCTAGACGTCCTCTATCGCCACCCGAAGTTTCGTAGCGTCGCACTCAGTGGTCCACCAACGCGCTGCCATTCCCCCACCCTCCAGCTCGCACCCGCGATTTCTCACGAACCGAGGCGCCAAACCTCTCGTAAATTGCAGGTCTAGTAGAACTCGACGAGTCCTTCCGGGCGGTGCCCTTTTCGTCGCGATCGCATCAATACTTCGGGAGATATCGCATTTTTCGCGCCAGAGGGCTGTATCACACCATTTTGCGAATATCTTGGGATTGGGTGCGCGTATTTTTGTAATTCCTCATTCTCCCACCCTTCCTAGGTCCCTGCTACTGTATCCCGAGGTTTCGTGGCATTCCGCCCAGTGGTTCTTCGCCGACGTGCTGCCGTCCTCCTCCCTTGCCACAGCTGAGCTCCCTGGCCCCACCCTTCGCGTTTTCGTGCCCTTTCGAGTTGTAGGAACCCTTCCCCATTCCCTAGAGTCAGTTGGAAGCTTCTTCGAGACTCCCCAGTCCCTTCGAGATCTGCAGACGTTCGAGACCCTTTGAGACCCCCACAGACGAATACCGAGCCCTTTCGAGACGCTTTCGAGACATAGACGTTCCTTTAGACGCACCCACAGTCGTTCTTAGACGTATCGAGACAAATACCAATCATTTCTTGCGCGTTTTTGCAGTCGAGCGAGGCTGTAAAGTTAAGTCGAGGCTTCGAGTCGCACGCGGCGACTATATTTTGTTTTCTCTTCGTTTCGGTGGTCGTAACCACTTTGTGACGTGTATACAAGACCCTCCCCACTCGTTTCGTGTATAGGATCCATCCCCCCCAACTCCCCATAGACATTCGAGGTCGCATCGAGGTGACCCCACCCCCTTCGCTTTACCCTTCGAGATCGACTGCGGACATTCGAGGCTCGTGCTCGCCCTCGATAATACTACCAATAATTGTCTAGACTGTGAAATATATTCGTTCGAGTTTCGTAAATACCACTCGTGATGGAAGAGGCACACAGACAGTCTCGAGCCCCACTCGAGCCCCACCTGAAGTTCTCGGGGCAGGCACAGGACCTGCCAGGTTATCTCGAGGATGTAGCAGAGCATGGTAAGGCCCAGGGGATAACAGATACCCTGTCACTCGGCCAGTTGGCGATCGATGGAGCCCCACCCCGTGTTGGGAGGCTCTGGACCTACCTTGTGGCCAGTGCCTTGATTCTTGAGCGATGGGATTGGGACAACTTCAAGGCTCTCGTCACCCTTCAGTACCCCGAAATCGAGCCAATTGAGGATGTTCGTGACTACTTCGACGAGTTCTATGCTTTCCTCGATGAGAGTCGTCGCAGCGAGCTAAGCTCAGTCCCAGCCCTAGGGGCTTACCTTCGTCATTTCCAGGTCCTATTCTTGGCCATGGTGACTCGGAATGCCCTCGAGTTGAGCCATCGAGCCCAGCTCTTCCTTCGAGGCCTCCCACCCCACGTCGAGCTCGAAGTCTCGAGGAGGCTCGCATCGAGGTACCCTTTATTTATGTCAGACCACCTATGGCCTATCGAGGTCATCGTTCGTGTTACGAAGGAGGTTATTGAGGATAGGGTAGGCCACTCACCTCCTCATCTAGTTTCGAAGAAGCCCTCGTCCGGTCTCGAGTCTCCCAAGGAACCTGCTCAGCACTCACACTCGCCCTCGATCGGTTACTGGCCAGATTCCCCTGTGGAGCACTCTCGGTCTCGCTCTAGAAGAGGCTCCCAGGGAAGCTCGAGCTCGAAGTCCCCCTCACATTCCCCTTTCGAGACAACCCCTCGAACTTCGAAGAACACCCCTCACCCCTCTGAGCTCGCTTCGAGCAGCTCGACCCCTCACCGAGTCACTATCGCAGGCTCGAGGCACCCTGTGGTTCATCCACGTAGGTGTGACCTTGGTTGGCAAGCTGGTGACTCGCCTTTGAACTCACTTCATAGCTCGAGAGAGGATCGACAGTCACACTCACACACAGTAGGTGGTTTAGAGTGCTCGAAGGTTTGTTCCCCCCACCTCGAAACTGCTTCGAGCAACCCTCGTGACCTTGGCTCAACCTCAACTCGCCCCCCTCGACCTCATGAGCCTTCGAATGCCCCCTCGAAGTGTTACTCGTGCTTCGAAATGTCTTCAAAGTCCTTTGGTAAGGCTTACCCTCGCCTCGAATCCCCTCTGTGGACTCCTTCGAAGCCACCCTCGGACTGTGAGCCACCCCAAACCACCTCGTTCCTCCTTCGAGAGGCCCCAACTTCGACAGTGAAGCCTTCCCCTACCACTCTCGAGGCGCATTCAAGAGTGTCAAACAGGGTATCACCCCTTCGTGAGTATGCGGGTTCGAGCGAGGCATCCCCAGCCTTTCGAGACTCGAGGCACCGAGTGCAGCCTCGAGGGCATGCTTTCTGTTTCTTTTGTGGTCGAGAAGGACATGTTCGGGCGCAGTGCAAAGTCTGCAGTTCGTACCTAGCTGTGAGTAGGTGCAAGATACTTCGAGGACGAGTCGTACTACCCACAGGTGAGGAAATCCCTCGAGAGGCGCTCGGACACACTCTCCAAGCTCGACTCGACTTCTGGGCACTCGCTCATGGCCCAGAAGGTGCAGCTGTTCAGGTGAAGTCTCCCCCTTCAAGTTCCAAGTCATCCCCACCCCTCGTCTGCCCTCAAGGCGATCTCGAGACTACCCCAGAGCCACTTTCAAGTTCGAGAGCCCCCACTTCCCCTTCGAGAGTAAGCCTCTCCCCTTCGAGCATCTCTGAAACCCTCGATAGGAAGCTTCGAAGCTTCGAAGCGAGCCCGAGTCAAATGCCGAGGTTTGTCACAGCCTCTCAAAGGCTCGTTTCCCCCTCTTGAGCTCCTCTTTCCCCTTCGAGTCACCTTCCGAGGCCTGTCCGGGCTCGAAGCCAGCCTCGTCTTCGAAGCTACTCCCTCGAATCCCCTCAATGCCCCTCAATGCCACTCTGGAACCCTTCCCTGAAGGTGTTGATGCATGTTCTCATTGGTATATTTGTTTTTATCATGGTCTCTTTCGTCTTCGAGTTCGCATTTTTGAATTTTAACTTAGACTTCCATTTCGAGGAAGATACCCCCCTCTCGTTATATGATACAGCTCGGTACGTGATGACTGGGGACAGTCATTGTCTAAAGCCACCCTTGGATGTAGGGAGGGAATCCTCCCTACCAGGTATTTTCTTTTATTTCTTTGTTTTTACCTTACAGTTTTATGTCTATACCTTACCCTATACTTTTACTTAGTATTTGGTCGCATTTTGGCTTATGTAAGCCAACCTTTGCACTTAGGATACACTGTACTTAGAAAATAATAACAACCTG